CACCAAGCACTTCACCTTCAAATCAAAATAATAAGCCATCGATAATGAACACAGATAATGATGATAGTGAAAGAAATAGTAACAACTAATGGAAGCGATTAGTCGAAATAGAGGCTCAGGTTTGGTTCCTGGAACCACTAAACAAATGTTTTGTTTTAACGTTTTTTAGCTTTTACCTTATTGGGAGATGATAACTCAAAATGCTCCCAAACAGGAGACGTTTTCCTCTTTCTCGCAGGCTCCATTTCTCGAAAAAAATAGAACCAAAACTCTAACTCTCAACAACCAACTAACGCAAACTCACAAGGAGACATGACAAGTGGGTTTCGCTTCCTTTTATCCACAACCCGAAACACAAACAAATCAATTACGTAGTTCTACTCGAAGTGAGGCCTCGTTTGTCATCGATGACGCGCTTCTCTGAAAATGACATGAGCCTCGATACGGGGCCTCGGCTAGAAATGCCCCTCCTACTCGACACACGCTTCAAAGCCTCGGTGTCAAACGTAACATCACTCGTAAATAGTACTTTTGGGAGGCCGGCTAAAAATAAAACACATCAATTGCAGTCTTCGACTACGCCTGTGTTTTTAAGATTTTTGGGTGTTTGGAAAGAGGACCCCGTCACATATGGTGTCAGAAGTGGGATGGTTAGTCACAAGAAGCTAATCTGACCCCATAAGCAGCGCACAGGACTGCCGTCCCAGCAGCGAGAGCAGTTGGAGGAAGCAGCTGCCAAGGCAGACCCGGCTTGGGACACAGTGGCAACTTCGACAGAGGAGGACGATGAGGAGTACAGGCCCTGGCAGGTCCCAGCAGCTCCTGAAGGCCCAGCATCTGCAGGTGAAGCAGGAGAAGAACTGGTGGCTATGATGAGAGACTTTTTGGCATCACAGCAAAGGAGAGAGCAGGGCCTGTTGCTAGAGATCCAAAGCCTGAGGGCTTCTCTACCAGGGCCCGAGCCGCCTTATCAACCTGTGCACCAGTCCCGACAGACTCTAGCACCACGGGGGCAGAACAGGCCAGAAGTACATCCACTGTGAGCAGCCAAAGATTCGAGCTGCCGACCCCAGCACCCCAGCGAGGACATCAGGATTCAGCATCTGAGGATCCTTCTTTTCCTTCTCAGGATGCCAACAGTAGACCTGAACAGCCGAGGCCAGAGTGGAGGCCCTACCAAGACCCCAAAATTCCACAATATCAGATGGGGGAAGACATTGAGAACTATTTGCTGAGATTTGAGCGAATAGCCAAGACCTGGAAATGGCCTGAGAGTGAGTGGGTCTACCGCCTTGTTCCATTGCTGACTGGTAAGGCACTGGAGGCCTACACTGCGATGGATGAGGAGATGGCTCACTGTTACACTGACTTGAGAGCAGCCCTGCTCAAAAAAATTTGATATCTCTCCAGAGACGTACCGGCAGCAGAGACGTACCGGCAGCAGTTCCCTGCCACCGCTGTGCCCTCTGGTGAGCGCCCCAACGAGACCTACCACCGCCTGAAGGGACTCTACCGACGCTTGCTCCGGCTCGAGCAGCACACCAAGGAGGAGATTGGGGAAGCCGTCATCTTGGAGCAGCTACTCTGGGTACTTCCGACGGAGGTGAGGACCTGGGTGAAGGAGCACGAGCCAGTCGAGGGACTCTCAGCTGCCCGGCTGGCGCTACAGTACCTGAATGCCCAGAGAGGTGTACCAGCTCCAAGTTTCACCAATGCACTACACAGACCAGTAGCTTCCAGCATCTTCAGTCACGGCCTACAAGGGGAGCGAGACACTAGGAACCTTCAGGTGACACCATCTCTGCCCCAAACCAACGAGGATCGGGTAAGGACCCTGCCAGCAGCCAGGCCACAAAGCTTCTGTGTGTTCCGCACGCAAAGCTAAGGTCACCGACGCTTGTTATGCACCCCGGTTAGAAATGGGCCCTGAGGCTGACATGGAGGTGAAAACGCGACACAAAACTGTTACCATCAGTGGCCAACACGTTAGACTCAGCTACATGTCTCTGGTTAAAAGTGCTCTGGTGCCAGTAGGCAGTGTGGACTACAGCAGGCAGGCAGACATTTTGTGTGTTCATGGAGACAGACACCTTTATCCCAAAACTGAGTTAACTGTGGTTATTGATGAACAATCTTACCTACTGACTATTGGGGTGGTAGAGATCTTGTTGTAGAGTCCTCTCTCTTTCTGCGTATATCCCTCTCTCCCCTAAGAATCAAAGCACACTTTCAGCAGATATTGATTTTCCAAGAGATGTGTTAGGATTGTTGCTTGGAGTCTTTCTGCTTGCCTTGTGTTAGGAACATCAGCAGGTAATCTGCTTCACAACAATGTGTTACTCTGCAGTAGGCAATGATCAGTTTATCTGAGATCTTTGAAATCTGTATGGATGTATAGCTTAAATGTTACCTTTGGGTGACAAATGGCCTGTGATTTGTTTAATGTGTCACAGAATGCCATTGCTGGAGGCTCAAGTAGCAGCTCTGATTCTAGAAGTGTTTGGAGAAATGAACAAAAATGAGAGATATGGGGAGGTGTCATAGGGTGCTGGGAGAACCAGGAAAACATAGTTATTTGTCTGAAACGAGTTGAAACCATCAGTGTAGAGATTTTTCATCATTTCAAGTTTGTTTTGGGGCTGTAATCTGGTTAGTGGATCGTTTTAGCAAGCATTAAATTACCATTATATTTCCTTAGAGATAAAACAAGATTGAAATGCAGGCTTAATGGCACAATGTTAAAGTCAAAGTTTCTGAGGAAACCAAATAAAAGCATGCAAGAACTAGGTTAAGTCCTTTAATATTTGTTTGACCCAGTAGTTTCAGACCAAGTTTCTTGCTTTTTAAATTTTTTCTTTTTCCATATTAGTTTGATTTCTGATTTACAATCAAAAACTGTAAATCAGACCATCAAAGGTAAGGAGCCCAACCAGCTCACGATATAAAGACAAGTTCAAAGTCAGAGTCTGACAGCAAACAACTTTCAAGTCAAGTTTGAGAACCAGTTTAATGTTCAAAGTTAAAACAAACTACAACTGGCATGAGCTGTGAAAAGTCACTTCATTGATAGTAAACGTAATGACCCAATCTCTTGGTTGGAATAGACAGGTTGACATTTTATACGAAGAAGTCATTTTGATGATTGGAGAAAAACAGTCAAGCTAAATATCAGGTTTTAGAGCTGTATCTGCCCTACCAAAGTGTGAGGAGGTATCTGCTCCAGGTAAGGGCAGGAGGTTTCTAGTTGTGTTTGTGTTAATAGAGCTGCACCATCTAAAGTTGGATGGATGCTGTCTCTACCTAACAGACCAGGTAGTTCCCCAGAAAGACTTCCAGTTATCTATGAAGCCCACATCGTTTGCTCGACACCACCTCGATAACCAGCAGTTAAATGATGACATGTTGTCATCATCGGGTCCAATGAGGGTGTGGTCCAGAGAAAAATGCAGAGTCCAACATTGTGAAAACAATCGTATTTTTCTCAGCCTTCCTCTCTTGCCTTATCTACAGCAAAATATATTGTTTATCTGCTGCAGTTTCTTATATTTTTCAATGGTCCTCATAACAGCCTGAATGAAAATGGCCTCCACTCATTCCTCTTTGTGTGGAAGAAGCAACAAATAATACGTCAAATGCACCTTTAATGAGAGCGAGCATAAAGCAGATATTAACAGAGAACCCATTTATGATTCCCTGACTTGTGACTAGGGCTTCAGGCCGGGTGTGCAGCCAGGTTAGCCAGAGAAATGAAGAACTGGCTTTGTGTCACAGCACTCTGACCTCTGTCTATATTACATTTTTTCAGATTTGTCCCAATCCTTTATGTGTAAACAATGAACCTCTGACTGAAATAAGATCCGTGCAAATAAGTGTTGATGAATTTCTTTCGAGTTCTTCATTTATTCTGTCTTCAGCTCCTTTTTGAAATATTTAACTTCAGAATCTCCATTTTACTTTATTTCAGTGCAAAGATGGAACTCTTCTACCTCAACACCTTTGAATGCGTACAGGATTTCTTTTAGTGTTTCCCCACCTGCAGGTTGTTGACCTTGTCAGTGATATTTCAGGCTCTAGGGACTTCTTTCACTTGGCTGGAAATGCTCGCTGGTGGATGGAGGGGGAAGGTTGTCATGGAAACATTCCACTGGGATGGGACATGGTGCAGGCTCCAGGAAATAATTTGAAAAGCTTTCATTGATAGCTGTCCAATGAGCTGATTTCAGGTCTGTTAGGCTACCCTCTGAGGCTAATTAAAGGTTCATTTGTTCTGTGCACACAAAAGGACAGTGGCATTTTAAAAATAAAAAAGCAGTTACAATGTGCATGTTGACAAAAGTTACTTGGTCATCACTTTAAGCAAAAGACACCGGTCCCCAGAGAGTCTATGACATTAACTGAGTTTTAGTTGCATCTCCATATAACTGTAGGAAAAAATAGCAGTGGTGTGGAAGACAGTTTCCTAATCTGCATGCTTTAAATGAAAATGCACCCAAAGCTTAATTAGTTACTGACACTGGTGTTACATTGGAGTAAATGACACTTCATTTTAGCCCCCCTTTTCACTTATATTCATATCACATTTATAATGATTTAAAGACTTTTTCAATATTCATAATTTAATGCCTCAATTTCTTTGAGCTGACAGGTACAACTTTTGCGGCTGTGGCTCAGTTGGTAGAGTCATCGTCTCTCAACAGGAACGTTGGGGGTTCGATCCTCAGCTCCTGCAGAAACATATCCGATGTTTCCTTGGGCAAGCCCCTTTACCCCGAAATGCTCCTGCTGCTTAGTCTGCGGTGTTTGAAAGTGTGTGAATGGGATTAGTTACGTCTGATGGACACTTCACAGAAACCTTTGTCATCAGTGTGTGAGTGTGTAGGTGTGACATGCAGTGGAAAAGCAATTTGAGTAGTCAGAAGACTAGAAAAGTGTTATACAAGCTCATGTCCATTCACCATTTATGCCCCACACGAGGAATTCATAAATAAATACAAAACGTATAAAAAGAGAAATATCTTAATTTTTAATATGATTGAATTATCTATCATAACATTCTTGTGAGAAGCTGTTATTACAATTGTGCCATATTGCTAATCCAATGTCAAATGATTGAAGTCAGAAACTACACAGGCAAGCAGCCAAACAGAAATGGTTTGATTGCACTATAAAGCCCAGAGTTGTCCTCATGAATTAACAGGACTTCTGGGCTCCCACTGGAGATTCACTTGAAAGCCAGATAAAGATGTGCACTGTGGTGGAGTTATGAACCTGGCAAAGTGTGCTGTGAGTATAACTCAACAGATTACACTTGTTTACACACAGAGGGATGATTTTTGTTTTATCGTGTTATGATGGCAGCCATAAAGAAAATCTACTCATTTAGCACAGGACAGTTCAAATTGACACAATGAATAAAGTCTCAAACGTGCTGTGATGTCCATACCACAGTGCAGTATAAAATACAAGAACATGTTGGTTGAATATAAAATTGTGGCTTAGTGACAAACAATTTTGTCATCTGTACTTTCTGTCACTAACTATTATCAATTATCTACATCTTCTCCCCATTCCTTCAGTTGCACTATCCTCCCTATGTGGTTTCCTTTATAAAAAAAAAAAATGGAGCTGCAGAGTTATGTTCACAAACATGATCTGATTTAACTGTTCCAAGGCATATTGTGCAGTAAGTATATTGTACCAGGATAAGAATTTAAATGATTCCCGGATAATCGCTTTGCAGGGGCAAACACTGCAGTCTGCAGCTCGCCTTTTCGCTCAACACTCTGGTTGTATCATAACACCCATAACTACGCTCATCACATTTTAATTAAATGTAATTAAAGACATGTATATGACATGATGATTATTTTGCCATAGCACATTTCCCCTGCACAACAGTCACAATCTTTAAAGTTTACCTCCAACTTGCAAATGTATAAAATGTATGAAAACAATACAAATCTATGTACTTTAGATAGTAATGGCTCTTGGCGTCAAAATTGTTTAAAAAAATAAGAGGAATGAAGATTTTATTAAACTTGCCCCTCAAAACATGTTCAATGGGTAAACCATAACAAAACCAGTGATTGTATACATATTGTAGCAAAGTAAGAAAAGAAAAAATGTCAAGAAATTTCAAAAGCCTTACATCTACTTACCTAGTTCATAACATTCATATTCTATTGCTGGTTTACAGTAGCTGCTCTGCAAACTTTAAGTCTAAATCAAACATAGTGGTATTTCATGTACAAAACTTAATGTAATAATAGTTGATACAACATTACAGAGGGATAGCTAACATTATTCAGTAGACAGCATATCAAGTCTAAACATACTTTGTTTAGCTTATATTTGTGTTGATAGACAAATTTGTATATATATATTTCAGTGCACAACAGTCAACAGTAAAACTGTCTCACAAGAGAAAAAGATTGCAGTTTCTAACAGTTCTGCCAAAAATGTGAAAAAAGGTTTGATTTTGCATCTTTGTCTGCTCTTGTATGCTACATCAGTGACAATGCTCATGCTGTGTTAATCACAACAAGTACTAAAGATAAAGCACAGTGAATACTAATTCAAGAAAGCTTTACAAAGTTGCTGAGTCATGTCTCGAAATGGAGGTTAAAAAAAAAGCTGTATGCAAACCAAAGATCTATAAATATCAGTTTGTATTTAAAATTAAAGAGATCGTCTGAAAGAAGTGATTAAAAAATTCTAACGGGAAAGACAAAATAACTCAGTTCACTTTTACACAAAGAAGCATTAATGTATATTTGTGCTCCTGAAAGAAACTAGTCTCTCTGTCTTCCACTGGATAGTAGCTCTCACCACATGTAATAGCTGCGTGTAGTGTCCACCTGACTGGGTTTGGTCTCAGATGAGCACTCTTTCTCCTTTTCAGTGTCAGCCTCCCACAAATTGATAAGAGGGGGGTACAACTCATTTAGGGGTATTGATGAAGTTTTCTGCATGTACTTTTTCAGAGAATGGTGATAGTTTTTTCTCTTCCACCTCTTAGCAATGTACACTCCCAGACAGGCCAGACTTATGATTGCAAACATTGTTGCCATGACTGCTGCAAGAGCAGTGTTGGTCCCTTGGTCAGATATTTCGACAGTGAAGGCTGATTGCTTTGTTGTCACGTTCACACATGACTTCTGCGTTTGTTGGTGGATGTTGGAGACAGTGAGGCACACCTCATACTCAGTTGCTGGTTGTAAATGTGTGAGGTTGTACTCATGGACATCCACAGGTACTTTGGCAGTGTAAGTAATATGTGGGTTGTCTATTCTCACGGTGGCAGATGACCACTTAAGGTTAGAGGTCATTACATTGGAGTTTATTTTCCAGGAGACCAATATGGAGTGAGATTCTGTTTGTTTGATGTAGATCTTCATAAGCTGAGTGCTGTCTAACAGAGTTCCGTTAACTCGTATGGCTGTCACTCTTGTATCGGCTCCCTCTGAATTTTGAGCCACACAGGTGTATCTGCCAGATTCCTCGACTTGGATTTGAGAAATTCTCAATGTCCCTTCATTGCTCAGGCTGTACTTGTCAGACAGGGTGTCCGTCATTACCTTGTTCCCCATTGGTGTTACCCAGTAGATTTCAGGCTCAGGCTGTGACACGGCTCTGCAGTCCAAGTCCACCGTCATGCCAATGTCAAGGTTGAGGTGGCCTGGGAAAGTATCATGAGAAATCATGGGCAGGCACAGGTTTACTAAATGATTCTGCAGAACCTCCCTCACATGCATACCCCTTACCTCTGCAGGCATAGCACAAAACATGGACAGAGGTTCCATAAAACGGACGGTGGTTTTGTTTGAGCTCATCCACTGGATAACACAGTCACAGCGCAGGGGATTGCTATGAATGCTAATCTCACGTAAATTTGGGAGAGAGTCCACTGTGGATTTATAGAGGGCATTCAGGGCATTGTTGTTAAGCATTAGACTCTCCAAGGCTGGAACGTCTCGAAAAGCCTGACGGTTGATATAGGAGAATTTAGGGTTGTTAGTGGCCTCAAGCTTTGTGAGCTCAGGAAGGTTGTCCAGTGCATACCTGTCTATAGAAACCAGCTCTCCCATGTTATTTATGCCCAGTTCCTTCAGTCTTAGCATGTTCTTGAAATCTCCTTCTTGAATCTTGTGAACTGGATTTTTGTTTAAATCCAAGAATTTCAGGTTTGGCAGCTTCTGGAGGGCTCTCTGAGGAACTTGCACCAGCTTATTGTCATAAAAAGAAAGGCTCTCAAGATTGTCAAGTCCTACAAAGGCATTTCCAGGGATGTCAGTCAAATCCATCCCAGCCAAAACCAGGCTTCTGAGGTTGCCCAGTGGTTTGAAATTAAATTCCAAAACTCCAACAACAGGGTTCTCTCCGATCATGAGAATTTCAAGATTGGGTGTAGATTCAAACCACTCGCTGCTTATGGCCTTCAGTTTGTTAGAATTAAGATGAAGCCTGAGCAGGTTGTGGAGCCCAGAGAAGGCATTGGCGGAGATGGTGTTTATCTGATTGTGGTTTATGTAAAGCTCCTGCAGGTTGCTTAGGTCCTGCAAACAGTAATCAGGCATTTCTGTTATTTGGTTCTCCTCCAGATGAAGTGTGGTGAGCTGGGTCATATTGGAAAGGCCAACATCTCGAATACTACTGAAGTTGTTCTGTGACAAGTCCAGCTCAGTCAGGTTGAAGAGCAGCTCCAGCTCCTCACTAGTTCTGGCAATGTAGTTACTCTGTAGGAGGAGAACCTGAGTTTCACTGGAGAGGTTCCCCGGGATGCGAGTCAAGCGAAGGTCATTACAGTCCACTGTTATGGCTTCTCTGTAAGTGGACTGTGGAGTAAACCATGGTCGAATCTCACAAACACACAGCTGGGGACAGTCATTGCTCTGGACAAAGGATAGTCCCACAGATAACAGTATCAGGCCAGCAAACACCTGGCCTAGAAGAAAGCAGTCTAATCTCCATCTAGCCATACTGAGACGGGACAGGAGGAGGGGCAGAGGACTTTGGGAGTGAGTGTGTTACAGTCATCAACCAGCTTTCCAAAGAAAATGTCTTTCAGTCCACTGAAATGGTCAGAAGTTGAAGCATATGGCAGAATTTTAAACAAGATCTTGAAGCCTCAGTGTTCTGCAAGAAAAAAGAAAAGACAAACATATTTAATTAGAAAACATGTCAACCCAACACGATAAAGAGGATACACAATTGTTAATAATGTTTTTATTATTTTCCCCCACTAGCATCAAGTTTTCCGGCAAAGGCATTCCACAGACTTTGGTCAAGTTTAAGTAATACAATTTGTTTATGTTATCCATGTTGCACTAAAAAACAAATCTTCAAGTTTTTGTTCAGTGACCGTCTCTGCACTCCACAAATCCATGTAAATTATGACATATCTAATCCTATAATTGCCATCGGGGTGGCAATGTGAGCATGTCATCACTGAGTTGCTTGATCCATACATTTGGAAGGACAGAAAAATCTCAAACATTTCCTGGATTTACAACACTTACAAAGTCCATTTGTTCTAAGAGCCAGCATGGTGTGAAATTTCAAGAAAAACACATTTATTTCATTTAGATTTATTTAAAGTATTTCATTGTTTCTCATTAAATTTTACATCACCACATTTTTCCGTGTGGAGAGCTAAGAATCATGTTCAATTGAACAATGTAAACACGTTCCCTACATTCTGAGCATTGTCACCATTGACATGTGAAAGCTCAAAGTACTTGTACCAAAGCATAGATTTAAAGATCAGTTAGTGTGACTTTAGACTCTCTTTAACTAATTGATTGCACAATTTGTGAGGGTTTCTTTGACATTTACCAAAGACAACAGATGCACTAAAAACAACTGCTGCTGTTAATCCTTGTGAGACTTCAAGCTATGTGCAGGATCAACAATTTTAAGAAATGCAAGTTCAGCTTATTAGAATGCATGCACAAAGTATACCTCTGAACTACTTTGAAACAGATCAAATTCCTTTGAGGGCTTTAGTCTATCAAACACACCAATAAGCTCTCTCTCATGAGATTCTTCATGAGAAGATCATTGAGCACTTTGATATGCTGTATATCTTTTTTAGAACATAATATGGAGGTTGGTCTGGTAGCTGGAGAAGTGCCAGGTCTCTTCCCGAGTACTACCGAAGTTCCCTTGAGCTAGGCACCGAACCCTAACAGCTCTGGTGCGTTTCTTGCATAGCAGTGTGTACTGTAGCAGCCCCACTCTGACATCCCTACATTAATCTATGTCCACAGGTCCTGTCTGTGTATTTTCAGGCCTGTGTGTGAGAAGCATGTCTCTCAATAACAGTGTAAAACTAGAATTTCCCTCAGGGAACAATTTTCTCTCTCTCTCTCTCTCTCTCTCTCTCTCTCTCTCTCTCTCTCTCTCTCTCTCTCTCTCTCTCTCTCTCTCTCTCTCTCTCTCTCTCTCTCTCTCTCTCTCTCTCTCTCTCTCTCTCTCTCTCTCTCTCTCTCTCTCTCTCTCTCTCTCTCTCTCTCTCTCTCTCTCTCTCTCTCTCTCTCTCTCTCTCTCTCTCTCTCTCTCTCTCTCTCTCTCTCTCTCTCTCTCTCTGAGACGCTGCATACATACACACTGGGTATTATCGACAGTACTTGACTTATGAGTTCAAACAAAACGCAAGCAGGTTTGCTACATTATAAGAAATTAGGAATATGATTTTTGGAGAGTCAGAAAAGGTCAAACTAAAACTGATTTACACTAATTGTTGACTATTCATGGTTGTTCTTCCCAATGAGACTAGAGGCAGTATACAGTGGGTTTAGGAGTTTTCAACTTGCTGATTAAATCAACCTCAAGTAACTGATTTTAATTCCCACAACTTATCGGATCAGTTTGCTTTCTGACAACAAACAAAAGAAATTTGGAATAAAGCAAGTTTTAGTCAATGTTGAATCATGTTAAAGCTAATCCCAGCATCCTCAGAACGCTCAGACACAAACGTTACGAACCTCCTCCTCTTTACCATCAACTCCAGAATTTGAATGTCAGAAAATAGTTTTTACAAATGTAATGTTGTTTGGGCTTTTACCTTTCCTCCATGAACTTATGGCACATAATATCATAATTATTGGCTTGCTACCTTGCTAAAGTTTGCTAGGTAACGTTAGCTTTAAATATATGGGTTAAGCGTTGAACTTAACACTTCTCACAATGAGTGTGAAGAAAAATGATCACTGATGCACTTCTTACACAACATGTACACTTGGAGGTTTACTAATGGAGACACATAGCCAGTGCAGAGACGTACGGCAGCACCATAGTACCACCACAGCCTTTTCCATTTACACCATAGTCAACACCAGCTTAAATTGACAGCACTTAAGAGGCTTTCAAACAGGAGGGTGGCAAAGTCATCTGAATGCATACTGCCTGGCAACAACATCAAGGAATGTCCCTGCTCCTCCTACACAAGGTATTCTCTATGGAACAGGGCGGAGCACTAGTGCAGCAGGGATACAACAGTATCCAGCCTCTAAGCTATAGCACTGTATATTATGTCCATTTGTGGTCAGGATTAGTGGATGGACTATACTGGAGATTAGCTAGAAGCAGTGTACTTGATTCTAACTGAGAGGGAAACAGGTCACCTAACACTTGATTTCAGTGGAATCTAAACATGCAGCGTAGAACAGCGGGGTTAATCTCTCAATTTCAAAATCATTACAAAACGTTTGTTATTTGGAGACAACCTAAAATTTGTTCTCATAGCAATATTTAATGTAAACAACACATGACTCATGATGATTTAATAAAAAGGACTAATGCAGTATGTGTCATGAATTCCTGCCGCTCACCGTTCATAAATGATCATGTCACTATGGTTTCATGAAGTTAGGTCTAGTTTAATAGATAATCAGTTAAAGGAATATAAATCCTTAAGAATATTGTGAATGAATGTGTGGCCTTGAGGGTGGCAGGATCTCAAACATGAATGTTTTTGTAACTGCTTTGAAGAGAATTATTTTAGCTAGGGCAGAGCATGCTCTGCTTTCAGAGAGGCTGAGCAAAGACATGTTTGAAATTAAGCTTTAACGGTGGAACTACTGTGTGAGCAGGATATATAAAAACCTTCATTTCTGCTCTTCATTGTACCACAAATTGGTGTTAATCTTACATTCACTTTGTTATCTGCTCACAGCTTTGTTTGTGCTACCCCTTTATAGAATCTAAGATAAAGATGTTTCTAAACTTGTCTAATAATCAGTTTAAAAATCTGTGTAAACATCCTGTTGTTGGTTTTTACAACTACTAGAAGCCGTAGGGGACTTTCTGACACATGTTTACATGCAGGTCCATTGTGGTCAGAGTTCTGTAACCACAGGACAAGTTTAAACACACAGCAGGTAGAGTAACACTCAACGCAATTCAACACAGCCTCAAAGGCAGGAAGACAGGAAACAGAAAACCCCACAGGTTTGGACCCTTATGAACTTTATGAAAGTATACTTCAAATAAATACCAACAGCTGCAGACCTAAAGCATATGTCTTGGTGGAAGTGTCAGATGGTGAGCATCCTGATGCTAGTTAAAAATACAAAGGGAATCTAGAAGAGAGACCACTAATAACTTGTCATGGTATCCTGGATCTTAGACAAATGACAATTGAACTTAAATGAAGGGTTGAAGTCAGATATTGGTCATAAGAACAATTTTTAACCTAAGTGGGTCAGATACAATAAGTTCATTAAACAGTACTATATGGTATAAACTGGAATTTAATGAATGAGCTTTTTAATGTTTGTGTACATGTTGAGACACAGTTGTCTATATATTGTTTTTTTAGCAAAAAGGTACTGACTCCATCTTTAATATCAATAAAAACTGAGTATTGTCCTACATGCTGTGAAAGTAAATATCTGTCATTTCATTTGAGGGAATGTCACGTTATACCAACTTTATAATTGGGGGAGTTTCTGTTAATTTGCCATTTAAAAAAAAAAAAATTACAATATTGACTTAAAATATCCTAATACTGCTCTTTGCTGTAAAGTAATAACCATTTCATCTATTGAGTTGGATAGTACTGCACCTGCCCAGGTCACCTATATGCTCAGAATATGACATTTCTCTGTAATGAGCTCTGATGAGAAGTACTTTTTTCCCCAATGCTTCTAAGTTCATTTTCCTTTTCCCATGAGACTTATTTTTCTTGATATGTGAGTGATCGTAGATTAGAACGCCCTTTAACAAAATCATATATCTGCAAAACTAGATGAAGTCTGTTTCTAAATCAACCTGACACCCTTTGAGTTCAAAACTCAATTCTGAAATTCCTGTCGAAGTCGAACTGAGGACACTCAAGGGAATCTTCTTGTGAATCGAGTTGATGCAATAAGAAATACGACTGAAATGGGAAAAGAGGAATGTGATCTCAAGTTGATTGAGCTCCATCACAGGAAAGAGTCTTGAGGGTATTCAACTCCGCTGGCCATTGCATTGGGAATATTATGCAGAAAACCGACATGCATCTAATGTGAACGAAAGAGTCTTCTCTTTCCTTATCCTTTCCCACTTGTCTCTATCTTAAGACCTAAAAATAAAATAAAAACATGTTGCAGCTTCTTAAAAACGCCTGTACCCTGTTTATGGAGCGATTATAACTTCTTTTTTTTCTTGAAGGATAATGGAAAAATCCGGTGTTTGTTATCCTTAATTTTCCCTGATTGTCATGATTTCTTGTGCTCACACCTGCCTCTAAAGATCTCTGTAACAATTCTCCAAGGATTTAATGTAACACTCTAATTCCTCGCAGGAGTCTCAAACAGGCAGAAGTTGAAAAATATGCCAGTTTTATTTAGAATGTAAAGATAGCTTTCAACACATAAGGATAAGAATAAGACACAATTCAGGTATTTCGGGTATTTATGTAACATATTTAATGACACATATCCCAACAAATACATCTAAGATGTAATAGATGTATTGGATCTCTATTTCAGTGTTCAATATGATTGTGATCGTTTCACATTTGATGATTCACGTAAGGGCTTCCGTACATTTGGAAATAACTGGGTCATTAACAACACTTCTGGTATTGATTTAACAGCAGCTTGATCGCTGTACCTCTCAAACTAGTTCACCTTCAAACAGGAAGAGTAGGTTCTGATTGGATGGATGGATGGAAGCGTTCTAAAAGGGCGGATTGATTTGATTTAGTATGTTGATGGTTTTTTGTATTAAGGTGTCAGGGGAAAAAATACACCACAAATGTAAACAGCAGTTTTGCACTCAATATTTGAGAAAAAAAGTAAAGGAAAGTGTTGACCCATTGTTCATTATTAAAGTGAAGTTTCTGAAGTTTATTTTCTGACTTGGTTTTAAACACCATGGAAGACGACAAACCAGGTGTCTCTGACACGTCCACACTGCCAGCCATACAAATTTCCTGCACCTGGTGGCAGCACACATTTTGATGTCTCTGCATATCATAGAAGGCAGGGTGAGCTGGACTGTTACTGTGTCTGTTGTGTCTGAGACCTAAAGCCCACAAAGGACAAAGGATTAATGCTTCAGCCCTTCTTCTGAATAATAGAGCTAAGCTCAATAACCTATAGCTCCCCAACCCCCGCCTTTACCCTTGGGAGCTAATGTTCGTGGTGATTGGGGGAAGTGGGACGGGGTTTGACACCCCCCCACCCCCACCCCCACCCACCATGAGCCCTGCTGTCTCCTACCCCCCCCTCCTACCAACACATGTACACCCGCATGCACCTTCCTTTGACACACTCTAAAAGTGTTTCCTGAGGCAGCAGCTCCTAACAACGAAAAAAAATGGTGTGTGAGAAGTTACACATAGCTGTTAAATAATTAACTAAACATGCTGTTTTTGTATGAACAGCTTAAATGGCCTATCTAAAAGACACACATTTTTATCTAACCCAAAGTTCCACAAAAAAAAAAAAGAGGATTGTCAGCACTTTGCTCTTAAAAGAGGTCATAACTGAGTCCTTTGAGGTGGGACTCTGCAGGACAAGCAAAGACACAGAAAAAAAAGGGTCATCCTGTTCTCATCTTTAACCTCTCAACAGTAGCCTGTGTCCCTCTGCCTAAAGTTCAGTGAGTGATGCAAGTCAGCAGTCTCCCTAACAAAAGAGCAACAGCTGCAGCGTTTAAGAACCACAATACACCCCCTGCCAACGCAACCCCATCCTTACCAACCCAATCTTCTACAGGGGGGCCTTGTCTTTTTTCCCTGAAAAAGACACAGCGACTTCTTGCTAAGAACGGAGGCACAGAGACATCTGGCGACATACTTTGACATTAATATGCTAATCACATTTAGCAAACAAAACGTCGCGCACGCTGCACCTTCTGGCATGGCAAGCAGGCTACCGCAACGAGATCAAAGTAACTTTTATGAAGAGTAACATTGAGCGCACATTAAAGGATTGTGCTATTAGATCAGATATTACCCGAAAGGGGGAAATTATTTATGAAGTCAAACCTTATTCCGGATCAATAGTTCAAACCAGACTGCATTTAAAAAAAACCAAAAAAAAAAAAAACGATCATGCCCTTGAGTGTGTCTGCATCCACACGTATCCTAATGCATGGCCTTTGCAGGGATTATGTTATGAATGAAAACAAATTTCAATGTATTGTTTTGTTTTTTTCACACAACAAAACACAAGTGTTTAGAAAATGTGGAGAAATATTCAAATCACTGAAAACAAATTTTCCTAAGCAAATTTGCTGCGTAAAACAATCTAACTGGCTACAGCAGTGAACATTCAGTCATTTATATCCTGACTCACCTTGTTGGCATTCCAGTCCTATGTTCCCAAGCGCACAGGTCCTTTATCCAGATAGCTTGCCGACTCGGCTTCAATAAACAACAAGAAATAAGATCAATGTTATGGTGCCAAGGGGAGGGGGGGGTAAAGTGGGGTGTTTACAGCGATTTGTCCCTTGCGTATCCGATCAGTCCTGAGGCTCATCTGAGAGATGCATAGTGTGGTCTGCAGAGAGATCTCCGACCTGCTGCCATCCACCACCGACCGGTTTTGTCGCTGCAATAGTCCTCGTCTGCCGCTGCCGCCGCCTGCTCCTCCTACGGATGGAGAAGACAAATTATTAAAAAAAAAAAAACACCTGGCGATGTCCAGACCAGTCAGCTGATTCCCCGGCAGGCTATTGGCTGAGAGCGTCTGCCTGTCACTGTCGGCCAAGCAAAGCAGAGCACCATCTGCTCCGGGCTTGTTTTGATGAGAACAAAGACAGCAGAGGGCGGCGGGGGCATGGGGCGAAGGAGGTTGGGTGGGTGAGGGGGGATGATGGGTGCTACATGGCATTATCGCTGAAAAAGAAAAAAAAAGATTTGGCTTCTTACAATCCTCTACAATCATCCTTTAAACCTCCTTGTTACTTTGTGTCACTAAAAGATCACCGACGATAATTATTTTGTCTCCTATGACTAAATTCACTAAAACACAAAATGCATTTTTTTTTTAGCAAAAAATTGCTGAAACTGAAGTTACTTTATAAATATTTTCAAATATATGTATTTAGTCCCTATTTGTTAAATAATTAATTAATTAATTTATAAGAACCATGACAAAAGTATGGTCAAAAGTATGAAAGCCCCCATAATTGCTGACATGATGAAAAAAGATGAACCATACATTTGGGGCATGAAGAAAAGCATTTTGGACAGATGTTTTAAGCAGATGTTTTAAGATACATGTAGCACATCCATTGATCTGAAGCTCTGACGTGCACATTTTGGATGGGGTTTGCAGGAAATCAATATCACGTCTTGATTAGAGGAGAACACAAAATGTTGAGAAATGGAACAATAACAACAGCAATAGGCTAATGCTAAAATCAGTTATTCAGTTGACTTGTGACATCAAAAACAGCAGCATAGTCACACCCATACACACACTGAGAATCAGAATAAGTAGCTAATAATTAGGAATCACATGATTAAATAGAAAATCAGCTGAATATGGAATTCCCCTTTAACCAGAGCTGAGACTTCAAAGCATTTTGGTTCTGTTTATAATGTATTTCATTTTAACATCTTACATTATTTGAATTGTGACGATACAAGGAGAATATGAGCCCTGTGTTGTCGTACGTGCTACCTGCTCCTGCCTGTTGCCAAGTCTCAAAGTGCATGGCAACTGCAGCAAAGCATGAGTGAGGTCTTAAGGGGTCTAAGTATGAGCTATGAATAAATAATTGGCTTTCAGTCTACAGCCTGAGAGGTTTATACTACCTAGGAACCAATTTCAATCAAACCTCCCGTTAATAAAATAAAACGAGTGTAGTCATACACATGAGCTTATCTGCTCTTAATTTTCTGATATACATTTATCAGTCATTCTCAAATCCCAACATTTTAAGGGAATCCATGCATGTGCTTGCAGCAGCCCTGGTGTTAAGGTGTTTGCACTGTCCTCCAGAATCAATTTGCTTCATGAGTGTCCTTCACTTTCAAGCACTAACATCTTACAGTGCACTCCTTAACACGATAGAGCGGGCTGTTCAGACATCTTTAAAGCAGAAGGCAAGGCATTACTTATTTCAGGTACAAATTTTCCACATATTGCATCTAAGATATTTGAAAAACAAATATTTTATCTATGGGTCCATGCATATACTCATGGCTTCTGTCAGCATTTCAACTTGCTTTTGGTAGTAACCAATGGCTTTATCATGCAGGTTCATACAATGTACCAGTTCAGTGTAGGGAGCTATAAAAGTGCATTTTGGTTAATGTTAAAAAAGTGATGACTGTCCACCAGATGAATGATAATGTACCTTTAAAGACACTCACAGTGAGGTGGAGAAGAGGATGTGTGGGATGGCTGAAAGTGGGGGAAAAGCACTTATCTGTTCAGTACTCATGGTTTTCATCCACAGAGAGCCATGAAGACATATAGCTCTGGTCTGGTCAGAGGAATGCGGCTGTGAATGGTGGTATATTTTCTTTTAGTAAAAGATGGAGATAAACGTAAGCTTTTATGCATGTCACAGGACTCTTTAGTTCTTCTCATTGGTACTGCACAAAACAGTTTTTAAAATGTATCCTGTTAAAACATTCTTGTGTCCATTACTGCTACATGTTTTTATTTACTTTTGTGAGCTTTCAGTTTGAAACTGCAGCCAAACAGAGGTCACTAATCCACACTTTAACCCTTCAAATTCAGTTTTCATTACAAATAAAATGGTCTCAAGAGTATTGATGAATATCGAGCCAGAATTCTAGATCCAAACCATGCCTTTATAGCAAGCAACGGTTAAGCCAGCTTTAGTGTGTGTGTGTGTGCTTTTCAATAATAGAGTTGAGCCAAACATAAAATCTGGCTACTGTTGTTACAGAATCTGGTTCCAATAAGGACTTGATCCTTCAAAGAATGATTGTACTGCTTAGCCAAAAAGCATTTACAAACAGATTAAAAAGCCACTCTGTGGCATTGGCTGACTTGTTCCTCTCCACTGCCATGAACACAACACAATGTGATGTATTTTACATTTTATATCCCACATACTGCATAGCCCACCAAATGTGTTTTACACTTTAACAAATTGACTCAGAATATATCACCATGCACCCATGTATGCGTAACATTTGCTTAAAACCGCAGCCGTCAGCTTTTCTTTTTCACAGGAAATATGTCTTCAGCATCAGGAATAATATTTGGGAAAGAGGGCATCAGACTGAAATGATTATAAGATCAGAATCAACAACATTTTATTAAAGTGAAACAAAACAATTACATTTTTGTCTTAGTGTTCTCGGTCTCTTTTGAAGAAAACAACAAAATCAATACAATTTTATTTTTGGTGTGTGTAAAAGAACATCTTTCAGTCAGCTGTCATGGATTATGTAAATTATAAATAGTCTTGTATTGTGCTTTTCTAGTCTTCTGATGAATCACAGGATCTTTACACTGCAGGTTACACCTACCCATTCACACACTGAAAAGGCTGTTATTTAAAGCAACCATCAGTTTTAACTAATGCCATTCATACACAATCATACACCACTAACAATGCAGCGAGAGCAATTTGGGGTTAAGTATCTTGCCTAAGGACACATCAGAGATGTGGCTGCAGGAGCTGGGGATCGAACCCCATACTTCCAGTTGAGAGACGACGATTCTATCACTAAGTGAGCCACATCATGGATCATGTAGTCGTGTGTTTACCATCCAGGCTGTTGTAGTTGGGTTTTTGTTCAAGACTGTAACTGGTCTGGTTTGTTTGCTATCGATTACGTTCTCTGTATCTACTCAGTATTGAACAACACAATCTCTCTTTACCACTGGTCATTATCAGGGTAGTGCACTCCTAACCACATGCTGGCCATCTTCTCCCTTTCTGTCCAATCTTATTGTTCTGTGGATCGTTCTATAGTTCATGGCCTGCCTGATTTAATGCCAGACAAATTTGTTTGATATGGTGAAGCAGGTTTAGTGCTGCTATCGAGACAGCTGTAAACGTGTGCAGTAAACATTCTGGATTGTAATCTATTTAAAGGACGTGACACTGTGCATGTGCAGCTTCACATCAAATAACCAAATTCAAAGAAAACCTTTGTGAAGCAACAGACATTTTTTTTTTGTGTGTGCTGTGTGTGTCACAGTTTTCAGCAAAAAATGTATCACGCGGGAGCTGGAATGAATAAAAGTTTTTGTGCAAATGACTGCCAGCTGCTGTCTAAAAATAGTTTCACCTCATGCGGAAGTTAGGAGGGAGATCAAGGAAACTAGTCTGTGTGATACGAATGCTTAAATCTAACTACAACGGTTCTCATTGAACATTGATGATAAATATAGACAATCTCCGGGAGGATTCAATGTTAAAATCAAAATGATTGGACTGTATAATTTCAATACAGTTACACTTCCAATATTTAGACAGTTTCTCTGGCATACACTGCAAAAACAGAGTAAGCTATTTTTAGAGAAACAAAAAAGCAATAGTCTTTTAAAGGTTGTGTGGAACAGGTAGGGGGCGAGGATTATGTAATAGGTGGATGTGGGTGTAACAATGATTCAGGGCCAGACCTGGGTGAAGGCCAACCCAATGCTGGTCATTTGACGGATGAGCCTCATGGCTGTCAGGACAACTGACAGAAAGTTGAGCATGAGCCCATTGAAGCAGGAGCAGACTGAAACACTCGCTCACTCACTGGCTCACTGGCAGGCTGGAGTCTTAGCACACCGCCCTCTCAAACTTCAGGCAGTGTGACTCAGTGTGAGACAGGACCGGAAGAAAAAAAAGGCACATGTCAACTAAATTTTGCTCCCGATTAATAAAACTTTAAATTGAGTAAAGATTTATTTTTTTTGGCTCTCACGTAAGTGTTTGTATTTCCCCCCCATTGGAAGGGAACATCAAACCATGTTCCTGAAGCTACATTCTTTAATAAAACATCTGCCTAAAGATGACCATCTCCTTATCGGCTGCCTCTCTTTACCTTCCTCTCTTTTCTGCTTTTTTTTTATCTGCAGTTGGCCTCAAAACTCTCATTACTATTCTTCCAGCAAATAAAGTATTGTCCCAGGGAGTTTTCAGGTAGCTGCCTTTCTGCTTAAATTCTCCTCAGTGACACAGATGTTAAAACTCATCTTGTCAAATAACATTTCATTTTTAAAAATAATACAAATGAGTAAAAATGACCATGGAGGGCAAAGTCCCATAATGATGCAAGGGTCATTTTTTTTTTTATATGATGGACCTACCTGAGGTTGTGCTATTGTAAACCACAGACAGACTGCTAAAACTGGCCCTACATCTTTCACAAACTATAACAGAGGTTGCTTAAAAGGAATGTTTAGTTTATTTTAGCATGTTTTAGTTCCTTTGAGCACTGATAATTTAAACTCTTGCAGTTTACATTTAAAAAGACCTCAGTTGATTTAGTAAATGTCTTTAAAAATCTCTCCATCTGAAGCAAGGATTGGAAATCTGTACTGACAAACAGTTATAACAGGTTTCTTTGATATGTCTGTACAAAGCAAATCCAAGAAAAGGATGAGCGAGATGACTGAAACATACCCAATCAGTTTGGATAAGACCTAATCAGGCAAAAAAATTGAAAACAGCTGTTTGGGTAGACTGTGG